CCTCAATTACATTTTAAAAGGGGATCATACAAGGATGTACCTTTGTGAGGATCTGTGTTCTTTTATTCACCATAGTTATTTTGAGGTTCAGCCATCTTGTGTGTGTCGGCAAGTCATTCTTTTTAGTGCTTGAGGAGGTGTATTCCATGGTGTGGCTGTGCCATGCCTCATGGATATTTGGCTTGTTCCAGTATTGAGCTACCACAGGTAAAGCCACCGCAAACACTCACATACACGTATTTGTATGAACGAATGCTTCTATTTCTCCTGGGTGTGTATTTGGGAGGGGAATGGCTGGATCATAGGGTAGGCATATGCTTCACTTTGTAAGAAATTGCCAGGCTTTTTCTAAGCTGGAGGTTCTGTTTGGCATCTTCAGCAGGGAATGAGAGTTCCAGTTGCTCTTTATCTTGCCAGTCCTGGGCATCATTGTTGTAACAGAAGTGTAGTCTCTCAGACAATTTTAATTTTGCTTTTCCTTACTAATTGATAAGAACATTTTTTCATGTGCTTTGTTAACATTTGTGTAATTGTCCATTGTAAAATATCAGATTGTTATTATTCAGGTTTTGTTGTTGCTTGTTTCTATTTTGGTTTGGTGGTTTTTTGTTTTGTTTTTAAGTTATAGATTGAGACAATTATTTTATTTTATTCATTTATTTTTATGTGGTGCTGAGGATTGAACCCAGTGCCTCACATGTGCTCAGCAAGTGCTCTACCACTGAGCTCCATCTCCAGTTCTTTTATTTTATTTTGAGGCCAGAAGCCTGGCTTCAGACTCGGTGTCTCCTGCCTCAGCCTTTTGAGGCTTTCGTCTGTTCAGGATACAAGTTTCTTCAGATGTGTGATTTGCAATTATTTTATCTCATTGTGCAGTTTCTCTTTTCATTTTTATTAGCGTCTTTTGGTGAGTGTATATTTTTAATTTTGATGAAATCTAGTCTTTTTTTATGGCTATTTTTTTTTTGTTCATTAAATTTTTGGCTGTTCCAAAGTTGAACAGGCAATCTTGTTTGTTTTCCTGGTGAAGCTTCATAATTTTTACACTTGGAACTGATTTCTCTGAAATTCATTTGAGGATGTGGTGTGGAGTAAGGATAAAGGTGGTCTTCCTCTGGTTCTGACACCATTTGTTGAAAGACATGTTTCTCTGCTGAACTGCATTGATGCCTGTGTTCAGAACCAAGTGGCAGTGCATGTGAGTGTTTCTGGACTTCTCCATTACTGTTGCTCTGTCTGTCCTTTTGCCAGTACCATACTGTCTTGGATTACTATAGTCTTTTTTTTTTTCTAATTTTGGTAAAATATATGGTAACAAAAATTCGCATTTCGTATGGGGAGGGGGCAATGAGGATTGAACTCAGAGTCTTTTTTTTTTTTATTTTTTATTTTTTTTTTTTTTAGTTGTAGTTGGTGAACTCAGAGTCTTGCACAGGGCAGCGCTGTGCTACATCTCTAGTCCTTTTTTAAATTATTTTTTGAACATGGGCTTGCTTTGTTGCCTGGGCTGGCCTTGAACTTTTGATCATCCTGCCTCAGCTGGAATTACAAACATGTACCACCATGCCTGGCAAACAAAAAAAAATGTGCATTTTTACCATTTTAAAATGTACAGTTCAGCAGCTTTAAGTACACCCTCATTGTTGAGCATCCACCACTACCATTCAGCTTCAGACCGAAACTCTTTACCTATCAAACCATAGATCTCCTTCTCTCGTCCCCGGGAACCTTGACTTTGCTTTCTATCTGTGAATTTGACCACCGTTGAGTACCTCATCATGTAAGTGGAATTGTTCAGGATTTGCCTTTTTGTGAGTGGCTTATTTCCCTAGCGTAGCATAGAGTTAATAATCAAGGTTCATTCACTGTCGTAGCATCGATCTTTTTGAAGCCTGAGTAACTTCACTGCATATAAAAGCTACATTTTGTTGCCCCATTCATCTGTTGTGGGGCCCTTTGGTTGTTCTGCCCTGTACCCTTTCACTGCTGTGAATGGTGCCGCTGTGAACATGGTCCGTCCAGCCTCTCTGGGAGCCCTTGTTTTCAGTTTCTTGGAGGCTGTCTACCCACAAGTGGGATTGCCATGGTGACTATACTATTTTATATCACCACTTGCAGGATTCTGAGTTTTCTGCATCCTTGCCAACACTTTTTTTTAAATTTTTTATTTAAATAATAGCCATTCTGATAGCTGTGTGGTGGTATTGATCATAACTTTGACTTGTGTTTCCCTGATGATTAGTGATGTTGATAATTTTTCCATGGGCCTCCAAGCCACTTGAAAATCTCCTTTGGAAAAATGTCTAATGAGTTCTTTGCCCATTTTTTAATCAAGTTTTTTTCCCCTTGTCAGATTGTAGATATTCTTTATATATTCTACATATTATCACATAGGTGATTTGCAGATTTTTTTTCCATGCCTTGGGGAATGGGTATGATTTTCATATAAAAGATAAAGAAATTTTTCTTCTTTTTTTTAATCTGTTGCATTTTTATAACTCCCAAGTTTATTTTGAAAACAATCTTTCTGACATATATCCATGTGAATTTGAGATTATAGTGAAATTACCTATATTTACCTATAGCTTTATTAAATACTCATGAAACATTTATTAACATATCAATATTTAAGGACACCAATATAACTGATTGCTTAAATTATTTTTTCACACCTAAGCCAATTTACATTTGGTTACCTGTGCATATAAAACAAACACACCCCTCAACCAACCATAGGATACATGCATAAAAGTGTCCTAATAAAGTTTTGGGCACAGAGTGGCTCAAATGAGAACAAATAAGCTGACCTTGTGAAATAAATCAGACAAAAACAACAAATACTAAAGGTGCTAAAGATCAATCCCTCCCGTCTGTCTCCTATCATGTGCACTGTGCGTGTGTGAGCTAAAACACTTGCTGCAGCCATGGAGAGCTGCTGGGGACAGGGTCACTATGGCTCTGGATACGCAGATGAGCACGGGTGCCCTGTGGGCATTGGCCGGCCACAAATAATCACTGCAGGGAGACCAGGCCCTCCATTCTCACTGGGCCCTGAGGGTAACCTGGGCCTTCGGGTGTGTGTGCTTGGTGGTATGGTGCTATTTCTCTCTCTGTGCTCACTCCACTAGCCTGTAATCAGGGCGAAGTGGAGCCTCCATTAGTTTAAAGAACTCTCACTGCACCCACGGTGGTCCTAGCGGGCCTTCTCCAAGAAGGTTTTGCAGCACCTGAGACGCTGCTGGTACACCACCTCAGAGTCAACGTTGTTCCCGTAACAGAGATCTTCAGTATGAGTTGTTTCTGTGGATCATAGCTTCCCAGCAGTTCAATTTTAGCTTTGCAGTTTTTAACTTGATTATTTTTTCTATTCAAATCTCTCAGGTTGCTTTCATCCATACACAGTACCTAGTCGAATGTGACCAAATCTTCTTTGGTCACCTGCCGGGCAATGTCATTCATGGGGATGCTGTGCTTCCTCATGCAGCTCTGCCATGGTAGTCAGGGGTTCCCCACTTCATAGGTGGACGTGGCTGCACTGTCTCTCCTCCAGTTGTCTAAATTGTTTTGATCAGTTACAAGTTTTCTGAAAATTGCTTCTGCAATGGGTAACTGACAAATGTTACCCAGACACACGAACAGCACAGACTTAGGACCATTCTTCACCATCTTCAAACGCAGACACTCAGAAATTTTTCTTTAAGTACAAAAAATAGAAGAATCCACTGAATACACATTCACCTACCAGACAAACTCTAAAATTAACATTTTACCATAATTGCTTTAGCTATACACACATGCATGCACACAGATTTTTATTGTTGCAACATTTTAAAGAAAATCGCAGACATCTTACACTTTACCTAGCATATGCTTTCAAAAGGAACATCTCCCCATATTTGCCATACCTTCCCCATATTCATTCGCCAGCATACCATTTCAAAATAATGTACATGTCAGTGGGGGAAATGGTGCTATACCTCTGGTGCTTTTCCTAGTTAAAACAAAGCAGCTAAACTCCTGGGACAAGTGCACTTACTGCTGGGGGCCCGAGTGTGGGCATTTTCTCCTGCGCCGTGGGGATCTTCATGCCCTTTGTTACCTGAACGGTAGCAGCTGCCTTCAGCTTCCCAGCTCCTTCATGTCTCCTCTAATCTGGCTCCACGCTACAGCCAGAGTCATGTCTTTAGAACATAGTCCATGTCTGTTGGTCTGTCTGGTCCTCCTCCTTGTATTGCATTTAGAGTATAGCACAACCTGAACTTCTTGACACTATGGCTTCTTAACAACATACAACATGACCTGGCTCCTGCTTAGCCCTCCAACCTTATTTTCTTTAATTCTTTCCCTTCTCTCAAAGAGAGGCAGGTACACCTGCTGTTTCTTGAACATACAGAGCTCTTTCCTTTCCCAGGGCCTTTGCACCTGCTTTCTTCTACCCCAACCTGTGCTATTTCCACGTTCAGATAGATTTTAGTGTACATCTTAGTTATTTAGATGAGCTTTCCATAACATATTTAACTATACTGCCCGTTTTCTCCCTTTCACAGCAGCCTGTCTTGATATTTTCATGAACCTTCTTCAATGTATAAATACATATTTAGTGTGTAAGTGTCTCCCTCCCAATCCTGCTCTGCCTTGAGCTCTGCAATGGCAGAGACCATCAGACACCAGTACCTAGCACACGGGTGGTGGCAGGTGAACAGGGAAAGACACAAGGCCTCATTCAGGCTGATTGTAAAGGGGACTATTTTTATAGGATTTGTATTATTTGTCAATCACAGTATTTTATTTGCATGTGTTTAAATTTATCTAAATTATTCTCATTTGAATTACATAGTGTGATCAGTCATTTCATATGACCTTGGGATCAGGCTTAACCTGAAAATTCAAATGGGTAACATTAAAGTTGAAGGTACAATAAAATATTTTGGATGTTCCATGTGTCTATAATGGAACAATGTGGTTTTAGTATTTTCATCATTATTTTCTTCTTTTCACAGACTGAGACAACACTTGGACTCAGTTCATATCAACAGAAAAGGTAAGACTTGTGTATTTAGTAAGATATTAACACTTTTTGTTCTTTCTGGGGGATTCCTCCAGTTCTCCCCTTTATTTTTTCCTCCTACTTTTGGTGTACAGGGAATAGCAAATTAAAAATCACATTATATTATGATTTCTAAGTATTGTATATCGAAAAAACAAGTTTAAATCTGAATTTACATGTGATACAATTGTATGGCATACCTCCTGTGATAACTTCTGTTACTTTAGCCAGTATCTGATGCAATCAACTTGTAGAGAGAAAAGGTCTGCTGGACTCCTAGTTGTGGGTGTTTAAGTCCATGATTGGTTGGCCCTGTGCCTTGGGCCTGTGGCAAGGTGTGCACCATGGCAGGAGTGTATGGGAGCAAAGAGACAGGGAGGGGGCTGAGGCCCCACAAACGTCCCCAGTGACCTGAAGACCATCTGTCAGGTCCCACCTCTTAGGGGTTTCACCACCTCCCAGTGGTGCCTCCCTGGGGACACATAGGCCTTTTGGGGACATTCCAAACTATCCCTACCTTTTATGGACTAACCGTTGCTACTTTCACTTAGCAGGGGCTGCTTTCAGACCCCTGGAGGAAGCTCAGAGCTAGGGACTCAATCTTGTGACTCAAAGAAGCCCCTTTTAAACATGGCCCCTGTGATAGCAGGGTCTGTCTTACCTCAGGTATTAGGAAAAGACACTCATGCATGTGAATTTGAAGATAGCTTTCCCACCTTCCTACCCCCCCAATTTTTTGGTACCTTTTTACATCCCTTTGAAAAAGGATAAAAGGAAGATGCTGACCTGATTCCCCTTCCATATGCAGTGACAGCCTGCTGCTGGTGCCGAGGGGACTGGGAGCTTTCTTTGAGTTAGATAACCGGTCCCTCCAGCAGCCCTTTTATGGGCACTCCAGCTGTTACTGATCATTTCCCCAGGGAGCCACAGATTTAAAGGAGTTTGACTTAGAAGACTCAGCATAATGGCATAGTTGCAGTTCCTGTTGGCTGGGAACAACTGGCCAAGTCCCCAGTACCTGTCATAGTGAGTGCCCTTGAGTAACAGTTGGAATGCTGACAGCGCTATCAGTGGCTTCTCAGATATGGAGCCAATTTCAGGTTTAATTATTATTATTTTACAGCATGTGTTTTTAGGAGGTTTTACTCTGTCAGCATATTTATTCTTGAGATGAGAACAAAGAAATTTAAGAATTATCAATAAATTATCTGATGAAATCAGGCACTTAACTGTCAAAGTGGTTGAGGCCACACAGGACGCCCCTGCCCTTGCTGTCCACTGTAGTTGCATTTTCCATTCAGCAAGAGCAGCGAAGAATTTCCCTTCACAGGCCTTGGTGCTTCACCAGCCTATGTGAGTGTCCTTCACCAGCCTATGTGAGTGTCCTTCAAGCAGCAGAGTGTAGGGTGCATCAACGAAGAATGCTGTTTGGAGAGAGTGTCAAATATTCAGATTGCAAGTAGGACAGTCAGCATTCAGAAATAATGAAAACCCTTCAGTAGTCACTGTTTCAGTTGTTTTCACCCATCTCTGCAACAACATGGCCCCTTTCCTCTTGCTCTGTCTGCCCTTCTCTCTGATGCAGGTGCCCTGGTGGGGCCTGCCCGCCTGTGAACCTTGCCCAGATATCTTTGGCACTAGGGTGTATTGTCACCAAATCATTGTGTGTCTAGTCTGATGACTCTTTTTTTTGGACCATCTAACAACTCAAGAGCTCAACACATCTAGAGCCAATGTCTAGAGAGAAAAGCACACCTCTTGTTTTATGCTTCTTCCTTGATCCTTTATTCTAACAGGAAATTAGCTATAGAATCAAGATGATTTACATTAATGAAGATGATGTTATTCACCCATGGTCAAAGTCGGGGCTTCAGGTATTTTCCCAGTATAATAAGGAGTTTGCCTCAAGTTTCACCTATCTGCTGTCTCCAGCTATCTACCAAACTGCCCCTAAGCTAAGTGGTATAAAGTCGGGGACTCAAGTGGGGTTGGCTAAGACAGTTTATCTCTGYGTCATGAAGATCTGGGGCCTTGGCTGGGCAAGCTCCGCACCTGGGAATGACTCAGTAATGGGGCTGGAGGCCTGGTCACTCACATGTTGCTGCTGGATTATTATCTGGGACTCAGATGGCTGTCACCTGAAGTACCTCTGTGTGGTCTATTCATGTAGATTAGTTTGGGCTTCCTGTCAGCATGGTAGCTGGATTCTAAGAGTGAATGTTCCAGAGAGAACCAATGGAAGCTATTGCCTTTTGTGGCATAATCTCAGAAGCCGCATAATATTACTTCTGTCATATGCCATTGGTTGGCCAATAATGTCAGCTTGCAAGGGTTAAAGTCAGGCCTTCATAGGAGAGAGGCTACAGAGGGACATACAGTCACACACATAGCTCTCTGAGGTCTCTTCTTATAAGGGCACTCCCCATCAAAAAGACCTCACCCTCATGACCTCATCTGAATCTAATTACCTCTCAAAGGCCCTGTCTCCAAATACCATCACCGTGGGGTGCTAAGGTAACAAAAGGTGTTCAACATATGACTTTTGGAGGGATAYAGTTCTTTCCACAGCAGCATGTGAGTCCAAATTCAGATTTTTTTTTGGTTTGTCTCTATCAACCAACTAAACACCAAAGCATTATGTTTAGGATTACTCTTAGTAGGTCATTTTAAAACGCCTGGGATAGTATCCACATTCGCCGGGCGCAGGATAATCAGAATGTAGCTTTTACGCTGGACGAGATTAGCCAGCTCCTTTTCCATGTGGCACAGTGCTGTACAATCTAAACCCTGCCAGAGCTCTCATCTAAATAATGATTTAGTGAAAATGTATACGTAAAATAGAACATGAAATTAAAATATCAACATGAAATATCTCTAATTGTGTAACAGGCATTGTAAGCTTTATTTATTTTTTATTTTTTAGTTCAAAAATAAGGTATTCTTTGGAAGTGTCAGAGTTTGGACTTGAGTTTGAACATTTGACTAAGATGAAGTCTACATACAGTCAGGGATGATTCCAATCATGGAGACCAGATCATCTTGTTCAATCCCCTTATTAGACAAAATCAGGAGCCGAGACTCTGAGAAGCAAGAGATACGCTCAAGTTAGAGAGGCCAGGTTGTCATGAGAACGATGCCTTCTGCTTGACAGTCCTCTGTTTAGTTTCTTGTTGATGTGGAACCTTCCAGTGCTCACTGTGTTTCCTCTCCTAGCCAGTGTTTGAAAAGAGGGACATAGCAGCAGTAGGAATTGCGGGGGAAGGCTCTGAAGGAGACGGAAAAAGGCCCTTGAGGCGTGGAAGGAGTCTCCATGGTTGAGAGCAGCGATAGGGCAATGTGGGAGAGGTGAGGTGCACACAGCCTGCTTTCCAGTGCAGGAAGGGTCGCTCATGCACTGAGGTTACGGATGTCCCCCTCTTCAGGGGGCTTAGAGGATAGTGGAGGTGGCACTTCCGACGTGGTCATAGAGCATGCAATGAGAAAGTGACAAAGTGCAGCCCACTTAGTGAAAGAAGGAACCCGACTCATTTGAAGACTCCATTTCCCTGGTCTGATGCTGTAAGCCTGGAGGGTTAGCTGGGGAGGTGGGCGCTGCACCTACAGTGCATGTGCTCAGTGTTGTCATCCAGTCACGGCAGAGGGCAAGGCTGGCCTCTTCGCTTCTGGACCAGACTCCTCTGCTCATCTTCCAGAGCACACCAGCATGGCAGAGGTGCTGAGGTGGAAGCTTTGGCTTTTTGACCTCTGTTGTTTCTGYGACCGACGACTCCCACTTCCCGTGTCCCCAGTTGTCTAGTCCATGCGCTGCACCCCTGGTGCAGGTTCAGCCCCATCCTGTCTCATATGAGTCACAGCTCTCATTTTTAACCTGCCCCCCGGGATCTGTATCATGAAAAGCATGGCTGACAGATGACCCCTAGGTAGTAGTAGATTGAATGGACGGCAGTGATGCCAGGCTCCCTACCCTTTGTTAACCTCGCCGTCAGCTTTGCAGGTGAGCCTGGCTTCAAGAGCCTCCAGGACATTCTGCAAAGGAAAGACCTGCTGCTTTTGCAAGCTCAGGACACAGTAGTAAATACCATGAATAACAGAATATTCCAGGGTGGTTTTTTTTTCGTTTTGTTTTTGTTTTGTGTGCTTCTCTCTTTTGAATCATCCTTTCTAATTAAAAAAAAAAAAAGAATAGGTTTATCAACTACATGAAAATTTTGTTTTAAAAGGTGCTGGCTGGCTGCATGATATAATGGTGGAGGATGTGTATATAACACTCCATCTGTTTTTGAGTTAAATGCCAAAATACTATAATAGGTACTAGTACTAATGTGATTTTTTGTCACATGAGGCCACCCTTTAAGGACAGTCTCTCTTTTAGGGGTAGGTGAGGCAACAAGGTTTGAATCCAGGGACACTTTACACCCCCAGCCTTAGAAAAGAAAAAAAAATTGAGACAGGGTCTTGCTAAATTGCTACGATTGRMCTTGAATTTGAAATCCTCCTGCCTCAGCCTCCCAAGTTGCTGGGATTACAGGCTTGTGCCACCATGCCCAGCTATGGATGGTCTTTTTTAAAGCTTGTGGAACCCTTGGTGGGAGATTAGGAATCACAACACCCAAGTTTTCTGTTCGTCAGCTCTGTGGCCTTGAGAAAAAGCACGCACATGTATGTGTGTGTGTACATGTATACACAAGTAGTCAGTACTCTCAAGAACCACGTTTTTCCAATCTTTACATTTTCTAGTTTCTCTCATAACCTGGAAAATAAGCCAGAAATCATGGGTTGGAGAATACTTTTCAAGTTATAGTGGCTAAGGTTTTCTTTAACTTAACTTGATAATTTGCTTATTATTGAATGCAGCCCTTTCTATTGTCTACAATCAAGCATCTAAAAGATTGTACTTGGATCCAAAATTTGGCCTTACCTTTCTTAATGGCAGATAAAATCTGCTAACAGTTGCAGTGTGATTATTGTGCTTTAAATTTTGTGAAAAAGTTCAA